ACTTACCTGTAAAATGGGCTGTATCCTTCAGGGAAATGGGAGATCAGATATGTGTGAGTGCTTTGAACTCTTCAAAAGGGAAGGGTGTGTGAGTTGAGCTTACTATTAACAACTTTATTTTAATATCCTTCCTGTTAAAATGTGTTTTCCTTTTCACTGTAAAACCTGGTTCTCACCGAGAACTTAGTTCTGCAGTTGGGTGGTGGTGGTGGTGGGGGGTGGTGGTGGTGGTTGTTGTTTGCTATATATAATCATCCCCACCCATCTCTGATGGTTCTCCAGCACCCATGCCAGGGAAGGTTTTGCCTGGAACAATCAGATCAGGAGCTCCTCTGTGGGGCAGATGAGAATAACTCTTGCTGAGATCTGCAAAGGAGTCAGGGGTTGTCCATTGGGACGACTTGGAATCAGAGAACCTAGAAGTCCCAGACAGCTGAGTGTGATACTTTGTGAAGAATTCAGTGCCTGGGCAGGGACCCAAGGCCTTTGTATTTTTAAGGAGACATACCAGTCAAGGCATGGGTAAGGGTTGCATGTGTTGTCTTTATTTGGTGGAGGGATAGGACGGCTCAAGGACATTTCTAGATTGCAGAATAAGTCGATATTGAAGGCACATAATCTGAATTACTGAGATATATTACTAGATATATCATGATTCTAAACCACCTTAATGAACACACTCAAGGCATCTCCACCTCCCAAGACTTTAATAAAATATAGGTAATGCCTTTTTCTATTTTTTGTGATTCAGAATCTTAAGATTCTGTGTCTATTAATGAAAAGAGTAAAGGTAGGCAATTAAGCAAAGTACTAAATTCCTCATTCTTTCAGGCTATTGAATGCCACTAGGTGAAGCAGAAAAGGCATAGAATATATTCTCCCTGTCAGTGTCTTAAAGCAAAGGGTCTTCTAGGAAATAAACGTACTTTTAAGAACGATGTCCATCATGGTTAAGGTACATAGGGAAATGGAAAAGGATGATAACAAAATGCTAGTTTGTGAGTTTAAACTCCTTTGCACAAAGACCATAGATTCACACAGAAGAGAGGGGCTTTATTTAATTTTGGGATTTATACTCGTTGACCCTACTTATCTACTCACCTATTAAGGTGTTATTTACTTAATATTCACAAGAATCTATCGAGAGGCACTATTATTTTCATTTTGCAGATGAAGACATTGGGGCACGTTTAGTAAATTATCTCAAGTCACACAGAGAGTAAAAGACAGAGCCAGGATTGAAATTCAGGCATTCCCAGAGTCTACACTCTTAAATGCTCCAATAAGAACTGAGATCCTGCTGTTTTAAAATATTCTGTTGCAAGGTACCCTAGGAAATTGTATTTCTTCTCTTGTGCGTTGGTACTCTCTCCTTCCTGTTGCCCTAGAATTGTCTTTATTTCTTGAAGTAGCTTCACTGTAATTCTGTAGAAGTTTTGGACTTTGGAATTTTTTATACTTTTTGTACTTTTGGTTTTGTATAAAATACCAGTTTTGGTAGAAGGAACAGTGGTAATTGATAGTCTTACTTTATCGGAAGGAACTCCCCTCAGAGATTTCAAACAGAGACCCCACCATGTCAAGGAAACCATAAATTTACTGCCGTAGTGGGCAGTGAACTCCTTAGAACTGTCTAGCGGTGAAGGTTGATCAGAGCTTGTGAAAGTGCTTCCTGAAGTTTGTTTGTTTAATTTACATGACTCAATAGATTATGTGGTATATCTTCAGGAGGGTATTTCCTGGGTACGTTTTGATCTTTAACCATTCTGATAAATTTGTTTTTCTCTGTATAATTGAACCTCTTAGACATAAACATTTTTTGGTACAATTTTGAAGTTAGGAGTTTATCTCCCATTGGAGATACTCAAATATAGTTTTGCTAGGAAGGCTCTTTATTTGAAGTTCCCATTGGTTCAAGGTCCTAGATTTTGAGTCTTTTGTCTTTTGTCTTTTGTGATCTGAATCCTATATGGGGTTTTCTAGCCTTGACCTTGGGGCAAGATTCTTACTCTTGGTTATAGACATCTTCTCAAGGGTTAGGCTTCTTTCACTTGAGAAAATTAATTTTAACATTACATTTTTATGGTCAGTTCATCATTAAATTATTCACCTTTGTTGTATTTCCTTTTGCTTTATCTTTACTACTTAAACAGTGAAGAAAAATAGGAGAAAAGGTAGAAAACAACCTTCTGTAAAAAGTAAAAGTTAAATGTCTATATTTGTTCAACCAAAGGTAAGCTGTTAATGATAAGAAGACAATTTTGTACTGCATTAAGTACTCTCGACAAATACTGGCTGAGATTTTGTTACTTATCTTAATACCTTTGAATTTTGCTTCCTTAAAATATGAACATTCTTTTGGACTTTTCAGCCATCAGACAGGTCTCATAAGGGAATGAAGTTACTCAGTACAGAAACCGTTAAGGTCCAGAGTGACTGAAACATACATTTAACGATGCTACCTCTGCGCCTATGACCTTGCAGTTGCTTCCTTTAACTTCTGCAGGTACCTCTCTGCCTGCTTATCATGGTCTACAAAGCTCTAAGATGACCCCTCCAGCTTGTTGATTGACATGCTTCTTCTTATTTATTCCTCTAAAGCAACGATGGCCTCTGTTCAGTATTTCAGACTGGCTAGAATGTGCCTTCTTCCCCTTCCTCCTCCTCCAACAAGAATAGCTCCTTTTCATCCATTGGTTTTCTCTCCCTCAGAAAGGCTTTCCTGACTGCCCCACGCAGCCCATCAACCCCATTACCATCCCATCCATAAAAGTTCTTGGCACATACCACTCTTTATATTTATTTATAGTCTAATGTGAGGATCGTCCTTCCTGACTAGACTCTAAACACCAGGTGGACAAAGACTGGGTTTCTTCTACATACACCAATGTGACCTCAGGGCCTGGCAAAGTAATTTGTGATGATCATCTACAGTTATATATATATGTGCACATACGTGGTGGTAGCTTTAAGTAATAGCTCTCCAGACTTATTTTGTTACTTTAAGTTGGCAAGGGATTGCATTAGTGAAGTAGCAAGTGTTTCCACATGGAGTTTATTTAGAGAGTCATGCAAAGTTTTTATAAGTATGCCTTATTCCAAGTCACTTGTGTACCTTCCCAGTATGTCTTTTAGGATACAGTGCCTTTGTTCTTCTTTGTTAATCAAATATTTGTCTTAATTTGACAGTGTTCCATCTTTAATAGCAGAGGATGCTATGAAATTCAACAATACGTTCTTTTTGTTTTATGCCTTTTAAAAAAGAAAACACCTGCATTCACACGTTCTTTATGAATGAATATATCCAGTCAGCCCCTGTCGTGCTGCACACCCAGCAGACGCTCAGTTGTTGAATGTTCCTAAAGCCTCATGGATAGATGGAATTTGTCTTAAAAAATCTTGAGCTTCTGATACATCTTATTTACTAGATTAGATCAGTCAACCATATTTCATTGACTAAATTGATTTAAATTGTATGATAGAAAAGAACACTGTAATCGAGTAGAATTTAATACATGTAAACGCTATATAAAGTAGCACTAGAGATGTATGTATATTTATAATGAAAAAAATGTCAATTTAGTTGAAATAAACAGGAAGTGAAAAGTCCACTGATGAAATCAGTGTACAAATATATGTGTCTGTTAAATAATATAGAATTGGTGAACAAAGCAAGTCTTTCAATAATAAAACACAACAACCGAGTTTCACTGTGAATTGGCTGGAGTGTGGACACATTAGTGTGTATGTGTGTGTCTACCTGTTATGGTTGATCTAACAAAAGGGAATGTCACGTTCTTTATATGGAACCAGAAATGCCAGTTAATTACATTCCAACTTCTAGCTGTTGGGAATGGTGTATTTTGTCCTACCTATTACATTGCAGGAGATAAAATTCAGGTCCTTAAAGACTGGTTTTTCTTTCTTTAATTTTTTTTTATTATGTTAATCACCATACATTACATCATTAGTTTTTGATGTAATGTTCCATGATTCATTGTTTGCGTATAACACCAGTGCTCCATGCAGAACATGCCCTCTTTAACACCCATCACCAGGCTAACCCATCCCCCCACACCCCTCCCCTCTAGAACCCTCAGTTTGTTTCTCAGAGTCCATAGTCTCTCATGGTTTGTCTCCCCCTCCGATTCCCCCCCCCTTCATTCTTCCCTTCCTGCTATCTTCTTCTTCTTCTTTTTTTTTTTTTTTATTAACATATAATGTATTATTTGTTTCAGGGGTACAGGTCTGTGATTCATCAATCTTACACAATTCACAGCACTCATCATAGCACATACCCTCCCCAATGTCTATCATCCAGCCACCCCATCCCTCCTACCCGCCTCCACTCCAGCAACCCTCAGTTTGTTTCCTGAGATTAAGAGTCTCTTATGGTTTGTCTCCCTCTCTAGTTTCATTTTTCCCTCCCTTCCCCTATGATCCTCTGTCTTGTTTCTCAGATTCCTCTTATCAGTGAGATCGTATGTTACTTGTCTTTCTCTGATTGACTTATTTTGCTCAGCCTGATACCCTCTAGTTCCATCCATGTCATTGCAAATGGCAAGATCTCATTCCTTTTGATGGCTGCACAATATTCCATTGTGTATATATACCACATCTTCTTTATCCATTCATCTGTCGATGGACGTCTTGGCTCTTTCCACAGTTTGGCTATTGTGGACATTGCTGCCTTAAACATCGGGGTGCATGTGCCCCTTCGGATCTCTACATTTGTATCTTTGGGGTAAGTACCCAGTAGTGCAATTGCTGGGTCGTAGGGCAGCTCTATTTTCAACTTTTTGAGGAACACAGAAAAACAGACACACAGATCAGTGGAACAGAATAGAGAGCCCAGAAATGAACCCTCAACTCTATGTCAACTCATCTTCGACAAAGCAGGAAAGAATGTCCAATGGAAACAAGACAGTCTCTTCAACAAGACTGTTTGTTTTCCAAGCCCTTCCTAATGCTAGACTTCTAATGAGTGTTTTCTTCTGCAGGAGAGCTCACAGCTGCTACAAATGCCGTCAGTGCAGTTTTACAGCTGCTGATACTCAGTCACTACTGGAGCACTTCAACACTGTCCACTGCCAGGAGCAGGACGTCACTACAGCCAATGGTGAGGAGGACGGCCATGCTGTGTCCACCATCAAGGAGGAGCCCAAAATCGACCTCAAGGTCTATAGTCTGCTCAATCCAGACTCTAAAATGGGAGAGCCAGTTTCCGAGAGTGTGGTGAAGAGGGAGAAGGTGGAAGATAAAGATGGGCTAAAGGAGAAAGTTTGGACCGAGAGTTCAAGTGACGACCTTCGAAACATGACTTGGAGAGGGGCAGACATCCTGCGAGGCAGCCCATCCTACACTCAGGCGAGCCTGGGGCTTCTGACGCCCGTGTCTGGCACCCAAGAGCAGACCAAGACTCTAAGGGATAGCCCCAATGTCGAAGCTGCCCATCTGGCGCGACCTATTTATGGCTTGGCTGTGGAGACCAAGGGATTCCTGCAGGGGGTGCCAGCTGGCGGAGAGAAGTCGGGGACCCTCACCCAGCAGTATCCTGCATCGGGAGAAAACAAGTCCAAGGATGAATCCCAGTCCCTGTTACGGGTAGGAAGGTTTAATTTTTAAATAATTCACCTATCTTGAAGGGAAAACGGGAGGACACATATTCTCTAGATTTCGTATCACTTAGTCTTACCAACTGAAACTAAATGATCTGTCTCAGTCTGGGGACTTATACTCATAAGGCTGAAGTGGCAGAAAGTAGCTTGTGTGTGTGTGTGTGTGTGTGTGTGAACTCTACACATCCTTGATACAGTGGTAGGCAATCGCTTGTTTGTCACTGCTCTTAGCTCAGATTGAATGTTGGTTAATCATTCCTGGTGATTATGCAAAACAGCAAGGCCACATTTGGAGAAGGGGGGTTCAGAATCCCAGAAGATTGCACATCTGTTACATTAAAATAGGTAAATGACTTTTAAATTTTAAGGTGGTGTGACACTGGATCTGGTTAACAAGGAAATTAGCAGAGATTTAAATCACTAGGAATGCAAAGCCCATGGTGAGAGGTTAATACGGAAATGTAGTGTTTTTTAGAACTGACGGTATAATTATGTACAAATGACAATGCTTGTTGTTGTTTAGTTACCAAAAAGAAGGGAAAAAATGAGATAGACCAAGTGTGAGTGGTGTGAAGAGCATCCAAAGAAGAGAAAGACCGGTGTGTTTTATATGATCAGGCTTTTGTAGGGAGAAAGACATAGCCCCATGTGGAAAAACAGAACCTCTGAGAACGATGAGATCCTTGCTCTCTCTCTTCATGCTCTGTAGCAGTGTCAAGAAATAGTTTAGATTTTGAAAATTTACGAACTCTCCATAAGTGATGCTTGCTTTTTGCCTAAGGCACCCCCACTTCGACATTTCACCTTGACTCCGAGAAAGTTTTGAGCTTTCTCCATGATTTTGAAGCTTTGTTGGTGCCTAGAAGGTAGGATCAGAAAGCAGCTAACCTTTACAAAAGGGCCCGTTAGGAAGGCGAGCACAGCCAGCCCAGTGCTTTGACCTGCGGGTCAGAGACCACTGAGGTCTCTCTGGATGGATTCTGGAGAGAAAAATTTCTCTTTCCAGTGTCTGCGTGGCTTCTCTACTCTCATTTCCTGCAGATCCTCGGAAGCCTATCTGTGCTTCTCAGGTTTCTCTAGTGGAGTTGAGCAGTGCCTCTTAGAGGTGCACAGTTAATTATAAAAGCTGTTCCCTTTCCTGGCTGCAGTCAGGCCCTGGAGCTAAGAGAAGGGCTTGAATACAGAAGAGGCTGTGCCCCTTGTACTCCAAGAAACAAAGAATCCTTCCTGCAGGGAAGGCGCAAGTTGATTATAAGAAACTTTAAAAAGAAGAGAAATAGTTCTTGTGCCCTTCAAGGAGGGTGTTCAGTTCAGGGAGCTTCTTTCCAATACATATATATGGAGCTGCAATTGTAAATGTTCATTATTTTCTTAGCATGTCAGGACTCCTCTGGTCTCAAGTGGCTCTTTGGTTTTTGGTTATAAGGCAGGGATGCTATCTCTTATGTTTTTAAATTTCATATTGCATCTTGAGAGTGTGTTGTAATTGGGTGCCTTACATCCGTATCACTAGAGCTCCCCACCCATTTTTTTTTCCCATTTTAAAATAGTTTTCATCTGTGACATCTTCATTTGATACCAGGTTGTTTGATACCAGGTTGATACTAGCCTCTTTTACACTGTTTCTGCAATATTACCTTTTCTGCCACCATGTACATACACTGAGAATTTGGAACGATCAATCATTTTTTATGTGGTTAAGTCCAAAACCTGAGCCTAAGAGTGTTACGTTTTTTGAGCAGACTGGGGATGATGATTCTTTTCTAAAAAGTTGTTTTCCTCAATTCTTCCACTTCCTTAATTCTCTGACTTCAGAGTTTCTGTTGCATCATTGCAACTGTTTCTTTAGTTCCTCCACATTAGCTGCTGAAGTATGAAATCTTCAACGAGGGACCGCTTCACCATGTTCTACAAGTAATCAAATTCCTAACCATGGGATTTGTGATCTTTTAAAGGCGATTAAATTTCTCTCTAAATTTCGAGAGATGACAAAATTTATATATATAAAGCCGTGGATCATTCTTCCTTGACTTTTGTAAAATGTGACTCTTTAAAATTCATATTTTCATTGTATTTGAATATTGCTTTTGGGAATCACCGATTTTATTGGATATTTGGAATAGGAAGTGTAACTGATTTAATTTGTGCAGTATTTAGTGTATTAAGTGAATTAAAACTTTTTAACGTACACATATCTTAGCTGATCAGCTTTTTAAGGCATGTAAGAGAAACAGCAGAGCCCATTTTGAATGTGAATTCGACAAGAATTCTACTTTGGTGATAGAAATTGGTGTTGCTGAATTATCATAGCGAATTCTCAGTTCATTCCTCTGCCATCAATAAGGAAAGACCCAGCAGAGTATCACTATCATATTTATTGAAGGTAAAAACACTGTGCTTTAATTTTATAGTTGTAGGAGTCTAGTTGTTAGTGAAGGTGTCCTATAAAAGTGTATAAATACACCATAAAAATATGCAAATACAATTTACATGTAGTGAATGGAAATATAGGTATCTGTAAATGTGCATATACAGAATATAGTATTCATATTTGAGTATAAATAGACTGGAACTTGAAATTATCTTGCTATTTGGCCTGTTTATTTAGAAATAGTAAGCACTTTGAAAAAAGGAAAATTGGTTTTAAAAGTCATTTTATTAAATAGTGCATACAGTGTAGCCTTAATAAAGTGTACTTATAAATACACTTATACATGTAGCTTCTAATATTAAAAGTAAAAACATGACTGTCAACTGACTACTATACAGATTGATAATGAGAATGATGAGAAATTTGTGCAGTAGAAAATGTTAATTTGAAATAGTTCAACCCTATACTGGTTAATAGTGGAAACATTTTTAAAGAGCAGGCTCACGGTATTTAGGGCCATTCACAAGGCACACAATTATAGTTGCTTTCAGGATATTGGTCTTTCTGATACATGTTTTTAACTGGTTTCAGTTATGAAATTTTGCTGCATTCAAAGTGAGGAAAGAAATATAAGAATCAGAGAGAAGAACTAAAATTTCAAAATATTTTCTCATTAGTTTTTTTCTTTTCTTTTTTTGTTTTACATAGGTGTTTGGCTTTTAGTTTTGTGTTCAATAGCAGATCATTTATGTATATTTTCACATGCAAATGTTTTGTATTTTTCCTTTGTTACCAGTATGAAATTGATAGGTTACAAAACATTTTAAATTGAGTATGTGATCTGTGTGGACCACTGTGCTTTGAGGATAGCAGGGGGCACATTAACATAAGCTTTATCTTGTAAATTGCTTTATGAAAATTAGTTTTTTGTTGTGTATTAACTACCTAATATTTCTGTAAACTCATTGGGTTTTGTTTTCTTTTATGAGTAGGAAGAAACATTAAAGACTTTAGACTCTGCTAGAAATAGTCCCAAGTTTATATGAAAACTTTGTTACTCTTCTAAAACTTCTAGAAGGATTTTATAAACATGAATAAGTTCCTGAAAATGTTTTGAAAATACAGTGTTTTCATTTAAACTTAAGATTTGGCTCTGTGAAGAGGTTAACATATTTAACATTTTCTGTGCTAAAAGCAAAAATTAATTGGTTTTAAATATTCAACTTGATGTTCCTTTCTCATGTTAAACTAAACAGTGTGTAGGGTAGTCAGAACATAGTACAGTCACGTGCCTTTTTCTGGCCAGTTCCTTCTATGATGTATATTTACACAAAGGTATTTATTTATTCATTTTGTAGACAGACTCATACAAATGCAACTATAGTAGTCTTATGATTTCCTGCATAAGAAATTCCAGATCTCATTCTTATAATTGATGTTTTTGATTGGGTTTTATAACTTAGAAAGCTATGTCTTTTAACAGATAACCACATTAATAGGAACAAAGCATCTGTCATTAAATTTCACAAAGATTTTGCCAATATCAAATGCACTTTTTCATTTAATGAAATGCAGAAGTATAATTGGGTTTAGATGGTAACTGTGTAGGGGGAGTTTATGGCAAATCCACATCCAGGTAAACATCTGCGTGTCATAGATGACTCATCAGCTATGATAACTCTAATTCTCCCATAGGTTCAGACACCCTAGTTATCAGTCCACTTTCTTCATGCATCTAGGGGAAAAATGATTTTAGATTCCAGTGTAAATTTATTTAGGGAAGTCTGTCCATTTCAACATGTACATTTTGCACCAGTTGGTTTTGGCAGAGACCTTCTGCCATGGGCCATGGGAGATGGGTTCCAAGTTCTGGGAGTTGAGTTCCAAGTTGAGCCACTGACTGTCAAAGGCAGGGCCTCCCAGGATCTCCGTTCATCCCACTCTTGGGATTAAAATGCCTGCCGTCCTCACAGAAGTGCTGTGCAGCTTAGTTAATTAATGTTTGTCAGGCCATTTGAGATCGTCAGATGCAGGGTTCTAGATAAGTGCAAAGTAGTATGATTATTTGTTCGTTTTGTAAATGTGATACCAAGACAGCACAAAGTAGATGTTATTTCCCCTTTGCTTCAGTGGTGTTAAATTTATAGTTTAAAGATTGTTGATACCGGACAGTCTATTGAGATGCAAAAATGTTCTTTTGGGGACAGTCCATTGGCAGCCAAACAGACGTTCAAACAAGCGACAGTGTTGAATGCCTTTACAACCAGTGACAGAAGATCGCAGGAACTTTTTTTAACTAAAGATGATTTCAAGGGAAAAGTCTGATATTGGTTTTTTTCCTTCACATTCAATGAAAATAAAATCAGTTTTTCAGTGATCTGCGGGTAGTAGTGATGTAATAGAATGTTTATGTATATAACTTTTTCTAGTTCCATTTGAGTATTTACATATAGGTATACTTAATCCAAAGAGAACAGACTATACCTAGAAAAATGGGAAGGATACACCTTCGTAATCACCGGTTATGAAACTTGTAGTTTTTAGGGCACGTTGATAAATTCTTTCTTTAGGTAACTGTTGATATTTGATTTGTTGATATTTGAATAAAGTATACT